GTTAGGAAGGGCAGGGCTGGGCTCTCTCCCTGGCTCTGGAGGGAGTGAGGGCTAGTGGTCAGAGCCGGGGGGGAGGGGCTCTCGTCACCGCACCTGTCACCTGGAAGTGCAGCTCGGAGCAGACCCAGCCCTTGGCGTTCAGCATCTCGCAGCGATAGCGCCCCGAGTCGTTCGCTCTCGCCTCCTTCTTTATGAGGAAGGCCTCGGGGCCCGTGACCATGACCTGCTCCGAGCCGCCCACCTCCTGTGGGAGAAACACAGGGATCTGGGAGGCGGCAGGCCGGGAGGGAGGGGCACCAGCAGGTCATAGCTGGCACGGTGCCAGGTCAAAGCACAGTCCAGGATCAGGTCGTCATCCTGGTGGACCTGCAGCGTCCGCTCTGCCAGAGACCCAGGGATCAGAGCCCATCACTCCCACGCTCCTGGTCCATCCACCCTGATCCCCCCTCCTCGGGTCAGAGCAATGGGCCCTTCCACCCAGGTCTCCCTCTCCACCCCCAAGTGAGAGCAATGGGCTCTCCCACGCAGGTCCCCTCCCCCCCTGAGTGAGAGCAATGGGCCCTTCCACCCAAGTTCCCCTTCCCCAGGTCAGAGCAATGGGCCCTTCCACCCAGGTCTCCCTCTCCACCCCCAAGTGAGAGCAATGGGCTCTCCCACGCAGGTCCCCTCCCCCCCTGAGTGAGAGCAATGGGCCCTTCCACCCAAGTTCCCCTTCCCCAGGTCAGAGCAATGGGCCCTTCCACCCAGGTCTCCCTCTCCACCCCCAAGTGAGAGCAATGGGCTCTCCCACGCAGGTCCCCTCCCCCCCTGAGTGAGAGCAATGGGCCCTTCCACCCAAGTTCCCCTTCCCCAGGTCAGAGCAATGGGCCCAACCACCCCACTTCCCCGCCCCCTGAGTAAGAGCAATGGGCCCAACCACCCTAGTATCCCTCTTCTGGCTCATAAGAGCGGCCACCAAAGGTCCATCCAGGCCAGTGTCCTGTCTGCCCACAGTGGCCAACGCCAGGTGCCCCACAGGGAATGACGAGAACAGGGAATCCTCACGTGATCCCTCCCCCGTCGCCCATTCCCAGCTTCTGACACCATCCCTGCCCATCCTGGCTAACAGCCATTGATGGACCTAACCTGCATGGATGTATCTAACATTTTTTTAACCCTGTTCAAGTCCTGGCCTTCACAACATCCTCTGGCGAGGAGTTCCACAGGTTGACTGTGCACTGGGTGAAGAAAAACTTCCTTTGGTTTGTTTTAAACCTGCTGACTATTAATTTCATTGGGCGACCCCTAGTTCTTGGGTTATGGGAACAAGTAAATAGCACTTCCTTAGCTACCTACTCTACACCGGTAATGGATTTATAGACCTGGCTCATATCCCTCCCTAAGACATCACTTTTCCAAGCTGAAAAATTCCAGTCGTATTAAACTTGCCTAATATGGGACCCGTTCCGAACCCCTCATCAGTTTTGTTCCCCTTTTCTGAACCTTTTTCAACGCCAAGGTACTTTTTTTGAGATGAGGCGTCCACATCTGTACGTAGTATTCAAAATATGGGCGTATCATGGATTTACAGAGGGGCCATAAGATGTTCTCTGTCTTATTCTCTATCCCTTTTTTAATGATTCCTAACAGTTTGCTTTTTTTTTATAGCAGGCTTCCCTGCCATACGTTGCCTGATATACGTCCATTCCGCACTAAAATCGTTGATGCTTGTAGGGACCGATGCGTGATAAGTCCTGCCATTCCCAGCTCTTAAATTGAGCAAAAAAAAAAAAAAATCCCATAGAATTTGCACAAATGGAAGTCAGTCGCGGGGAGAGAGAGAATTCCCCACTTGAAGTTGCTTCGCTGCAAGTCCAAGTGTTTTGCAATGGATCTTGGACTTGTCGCGAGGACAGCCTGTAGGTGGGAATTATTTTTCCCCCGCGGACATCCCTTTGCATGGCTCAGCGTTGAACGTCAATTCCGCCAGTTCTGAGAGATCCTGCGGAAGCTCTTCCCCATCTGCCTTGGACAGAACCGCAGCAACAGGCCCCAACTTGCGACAGTGGCCAAAGTTAGCCACAAAGCCCCTCGTTACCCACGATGCACCTGGCCACGGTGGGCTGCGGAGGGGAGGCTGGGGGACATGGGATTTTCCTTCCTGACCCTGTCGGAGCAGCCGGGGCCTGGAGCCTGGGAGTGAGGAGCCAACACAGGTTAGAGGCCTCTAGAGCCCCACTCCTTTGGGGAACCCCTCCCTCCATCCTTCCCCATCCCCCGCCTCGCTCACTCCCGCAGGACAGGTTCCGGTTGCAGGAGAAGAGCTCGGTTTTGCACGCCCAACAGTCGATGAACTGGTGAACCATGCGCCCTGTGGGAGAGGCAGGGGTCACAGCTGGGCGGGGGCAGGGCCCCAACAGTGGAGTTTGGGGGAGATCCAGAACTTCAGGAGGATCACCTGGGGGCTGATGGGGACAGGTCCTGACCAGCTGGGAGTTTGGCATCAGCTGGGGGCACCCTGCCCTGGTGTGATCAGACCCCCCGCCCCCACCCTTGGGAAAAGAGATGAGTCCCTGGAACCACCCCACAGGATCTGCCCCTTTCCCCCATCCTGGCGCCCACTCACCACATTTATTCGGGCAAAAAACTGCAAAACAAGAGGGAAGAAGGGTGAGAAATGGGGACCTCTGGGGAACAGGACTGTGGGTCGGGAGTGAGGGGCACCGGCAGGGCTGGGCTGTGGGGCAGGAGTGAGGGGCACCGGCAGGGCTGGGCTGTGGGGCAGGAGTGAGGGGCATGGGCTGGGGGCAGGGCTGGGGGGAGGACAG